AAATCCTTGACTTGTGAGTGCTAGTGTGAACTTCGCATACCAGTTTCTTGATGCTTGTTGAAGTCAATACAGAGACTTTCACAGTCTGCACACTCGAGTATCTCCTTTGTTTGAAAAACCTTCTGGAATTTTCATGTAGACTTCTTCTTGAAGGTCCCCATGAAGGAACACATTATTCACATCTAATTGATGAATAATCCAATCTGTCTTTGCAGCAACAGTAAGGAAGGTTCTAACGGTAACCAGCTTCGCCACTGGTGTAAACGTGTCATGGTAATCCACGCCTTCCTGATGTGTAAAGCCCTTTGCCACGAGCTTGCTTTGTATCTTTCAGTTTCACCGTTTGTCTTGTATTTTATCTTGTACACCCACTTTGATCCAATAGCACGTTTTCCCTTTGGCAAGTCTTCAAGAGTCCACGTACCATTGTCTTCAAGTGCCTTTACTTCATTCTTCATTGTTGTCACCTAATTTTCGTTTTGAGCTGCCTGTTTAAAAGATTGTGGTTCTACATACCGCTTTGTGACTGTCAGTAAATTTTTCATAAGATATATAATTAGTGAGAGAATGTATCGTAGAAGACACTTGATGGCTTGTAGGGTGTGCATGGTCTATCAAAGGAGGTAAGTTTACAAAATAATCATCAAATCTTTTCGGGGGATCCCTTACACGTTTTTCTCTTGTAGTGTCAAGTATATTCTCTTCGTAATTTTCTGTTACCCCAAGGGTACCTGTAATGTTTTCTTGTGCCCCAGCATTAACCTCACATTCTTCGTTAAGATCTTGTTTGTCAACATCACTCCTTATTTCCTCTTGATTTGCTTCAACGATGGAGTGTTTGAAGTGCACCAAGTCTCCATCTTCTTCATTTATATCAAAAGCAACATCAACTTTGTCTTTCCCATTACTTTCAACCTTTTGTGTATTTGAAGAAAATGGAAAAACATCTTCCACAAACTTCACATCCCTCGTCACTGTTATCTTATTAGTTTTTGTGTCAAGTACACGGTATCCCTTTTGACCATGCGGATATCCTATAAATACCCTAGGTTTTCCTCTTTCATCAAATTTGTCCCCTTTGGTATTTGTGTTTCTAGCATAAACTAGACACCCAAATACCTTCATGTGAGAATAATCAGGCTTTTTGCCAAAAAGGACTTCATATAGTGTTTTAGAATTCAGGACCTTGGAAGGTAATTTGTTAATAATGTAGGTAGCAGTGAGAATGCACTCACCCCAAAATTTTATCGGTAGGCTTGCTTCAAATGTCAAGGCTCTTGCAACTTCAAGAAGGTGCCTGTGTTTTCGTTCAACAACCCCATTTTGTTGAGGGGTGTGTGGACAAGAAGCCTCATGAATAATTCCCATCTTAGAATAGAAATCATTCATGAGTCCAGAAGTAAATTCTCCTCCATTATCACTTCTAATCTTTTTGACATCTTTCCCAAATTGAGTTTTGATCATATTGCATAAGTTAATTAATTGTTGGCTAGCCTCATGTTTGTTTTTGAGCAAGAATACCCAAACAGCTCTACTGTAATCATCAACCACAGTCAAAAAATAATGTGCCTCAGTAAGTGAAGGTGTGTGATAACTTCCCCATATATCACAGTGAATTAATTCAAAACAAGCAATTGTTTTAATATAAATATTAGGAAAAGGAAGTCTTGTGTGTTTAGCCCTAACACACGAATCACAAACTCTATTATTTAACTTATTCACAGAATTTCCTAAAAAATTAACTTGACTCAACTTAGACACAGATGCATGTCCAAGCGTTTTATGCCACACCTCCATATTCGGCGCCACCATTAAAGCTCTCTTGTCTCCTGCCACCGAATCCATTCGATAAAGACCACCACTACACTTACCCATTCCAATCAAGCTCTTCTTGTGTAGGTCTTGTATAAGGCAAAAGTCACGGTAAAAGGTTACAACACAATTTAGTTCATCAGTGAGACGGCTAATAGATATAAGATTGCAATCAAATTTTGGAATGTAAAAAACATTCCCAATCTTAATTTCATTAGGAAGGTGGCATGCCCCCTTTCCTTTGACAGGGATGAAATCACCATTAGGTATAGTTACCGGGAACTCATTGTCACAAAGAACCTTTGTTTCGAGTAAGTTTTGATCACTCGTCATATGGTTCATGGCTCCTGTATCTATAATCCAAGAACCATTATTGTTTTTTCCTAACTGCCATGTTAACAGAAGGTTTGGTGTTGATACTAGATTCCTTTGCAAAGTATTTGAGTAACCCTTGATATTGTTCATCGGAAAGAACTGGAAATTGGCCTGTCTCGAGATTTGCCACAGCAGCTTTCAGTTTCGCATTATCTTTCTTGCCTTTTCCTAGCCACCATTCCGGGTAACCAATACGTTTGAAGCAACCTTCCTTGTTGTGTCCACTTCTTCCACAAAAGGTGCAATGCTCGACTTCATCACTACTATTTCGTTTTGCGTCTTTTACCACCCCTTTATTACGTTGAGATGTGAAGTTAGAACCCCACTCACGCCGGTTACCTGAGCTCTGGAATGCATCAGCTTCTTGCGTTGGCTTCTTTGTTGATGAAATAGCACGTTGTTGTTCATCTTCCGAGACAAGGTGATAAGTCGTCCCTAGTGTAGGAGTGGGTTTGGAAGCAAGAATTTGAGTCTTTATTATTGAGAAGACATTGCCAAGACCCATTAAAAACTCGTAAAGCTTGTCCTTTTCTTTGGATTCACTGAGTCTTTTGCCAAGATCGCAGGTACACTTTCCACACGTGCAACGAGGTATTGGCGATATGGTTTGAATTTCATCCCATAAACTCCTCATTTGTGTGTAATAAGCTGAGACATAAGCACCGTCTTGAGACGTATTGTTGAGTGTTTGTTTCAATTCGTAGGCACGGGTGCATTTTGCTTTCCAAACCGCTCTTCTAGATCAGCCCATATTTCCGCAGCAGTGTTTGCGTATTTGACACTTGATCTGATGTCCTTCTCCATTGCAATAGTCAACCATCCCTTTACCATGGCATCACATCTCATCCATGGCATATAATCAGCGGAAGCATCAATGGGTTTGGGAATGGTTCCTTTAACGAAACCAATTTTATTTTTAGCAAACAGGAAATTTCTCATCTCTTGAACCCAATCATTATAATTGCTATCGGTAAGAAATCATTCGCCCACATCTGTTTGGGGTAGTCTGAGGCATGAATATAGTAGGGCGAATTAGCCCCGATTGTTTCTCCATCCTTTTTGAATGATTCGGCATCGTCTCCGGTCATCATCTAGCCATCTCCGATCTTCTTGAAACTGATTAGACCTGCTCTGATACCATAAAGAATTTGATGGTTCAAAGAGTTACTTTTTATTAAACCCAAAATAGGTATATATACTTACAAGAACGGATCCCTCCTGATATGATCAGGAGGCTAAAACTTAGATAACAAGCAAAGTTTAAAAATAAAGATAAGTATTGCATTATCCTCTACACACGTATATGATAAACTCTAAGAAATCAAATAAACAATAATTCCTTTATGCCGGGGAGTTCGATAGTTTTATGTCCGGTTGGAATAATGTTGTATACTCAACAACAGAAGCTCTCTTTGAGGAAAATTGGTTTGAATTTGAGTCAATGTATAAAGAGAAAAAAGATACACTTGAGTACATAAAGAACATATGGCTTCCTTGAAAAGAAAAGTTTGTTAGTGCTTGGTCCAATAAGTTCTTGCGTTTTGGCAACCAATCTTCATCAAAAGTTGAAAGTGCTCATGCTAAACTTAAACAATACTTGCATGTTTCTACAGAAGATTTGCGGAAAGTGAGAGAAAATATGTCTTACAGTTGAGCATAAATTTAATGAGATTAAAGTGAAACTCTTAAGTGAGAAACTTTAAGTTCCTCACAATTGCAATATGCTATTTTTTAAAGAGCTTCTTTTTCACGTATTTCACTTTGCCTTATATATATATATATATATATATATATATATATATATATATATATATATATATATATATATATATATATATGAAGTTGCAAAAGATGGTAATATGTTCATTTAGTATTACTTTTATTATTGTGTATTAACATTTATTATTTACTAACTTGTAGGTAGTATATCTCCTTGTATCGGTGCCTTTGTGATAACTATAGGTCTTCCATGTGCTCATAAGATAAAATATTGGAAAGGAACTACTTTCTCATTGGATTTAATCTATCTTCATCGAAGGATTGACAAACTATCGCTAAATTTACAAAATGATTTGTGTGACGAAGGCATTAGTAAATTTAATGAGTTGTTTAACGTCTTGTGTTTGGCATATCAAAGGTGTCCTTAAACAAGAAAGAAAATGTATTTTCAGTGATCACTAAACTTATGAACCAATTTGATACTGTTTTTGAGCCCGTGATTTAACGATCAAAAGAAAGACCGCCAAAATCAAAAATAAAAGAGGAATAACTTCCACCACATGAGGTTCTTCAAGATTTGAGTTGGTGGAATCATCTCAGAGACGCAATAAAGTGGATGGTGAAAACAACTTAATCGATTTAAACGTATATACATTAAAGGCATGTTGGTACTTAATAGGTTAAGCACTTAATCTAAACAACTATATATATGATTGTTTCTTTTTTCCTCAATCCAACATAATAACTTTATAGGTTAAGCTAATAACCACATGTAAGCAACCTATTAAGACATTAAGTCATTAACCCGTTATTTATTTGTTCTTTTTTGCCTCACACGTTAAATTTGATGAATAAAACCGAAACAAAACTGATTATTAGTCACTTTCACACTATTTATTCAAACTTTACTCATACATAACTTAATGAAAGGGGAAAAAATAAAGAAAAGACTTATGTCAACCAGACAAAATTTTGCAATTTTTTGTCTCAGAGGGAGGGTTATCTACCACATCAAGTTTGGTCTATTCTATGTTGGCCACGTCAGCAACAAGCATGCACATTATGCATTACAAAAAATTGATATAAACACTAACATCACATATAACATAACATAAGATATAAGACAAACTTTTGACATGTGTCACTAATCCAACCCTACATTCAATGATAAGTAGTGTTTACTTCTAAACCAAAAGCAAGATTTACCAATCGAAACTTACTATCTTCCTCTTCCCTTCACAACAAAAAAAAATCACTTCAATCTTCACCACCTTCCTTTTCCTGCAACATATCAAACAGTTAACGCATGTCTATTGATCTAATGCATGAAAACATTATTAACCAAGTTTACAGCTTACAACTGATATTTACCTTTGATTCATCAGCATGAAGAGGAACGCTTTCGACATTTTCATCATTCTCCATAACTTCATCTTCTACCTTCTGATCCACTTCAGGCTCCACAGACATTTCCTGATCCTCCTCCACTGACTTCTGGTGGACTTCAGCCACACCCAATAATTCCCCTTCATCCCGTTTCTCTTCACTTTCAACAACTAATTCCGGTTTATCCCGAGTCGATTTCCGTTCCACAGACATTCCTTTGAGATTCTTCACTTCATTCTCAACAGACACCAATTTATCAGCCATCTTCAAGACCTTATCATGATGCATTCCCAATTTAGAAACACATTCTTCTTCATGATCCTTCAACATCTTAAGAATCTTCACACGATCTTCCTCTTGTTTCACCCGTTGTTTCTCCAACTCCCGTGTACTCAAAACCAAACCACCGGGACCCGCGTCTTTGTAAATTGGTTCCTCATGAAGGGAATAACGTTTCCTATACTCTGAGAATTTAAATCGAGTATCATTCAAAGCCTGTCTATACCCTGCTACAAGATCCCGCATTAGATAAAGCTCACGTTCAAGCCTAAATACTTCTGTGTGCTTCTTTGATAACTCTTCATCTTTTGACTTTATCAACATTTCCATGTAGTTTTGGCGTTCTTGAAGCTGGTTTATTGCTAATTCGTGATTATATTGGGAGTTTTCGAAAGCTTGTTCTTTTGATTCGTGTAGCATCTTGGCTTTTTCCATCCATTGTTGCATTTGATCCATGCATGTATTGAAATCGGTTGGTTTTTGACCCCAAATTTCATCGGTTTTTAACCTTTTGTGATTTGGGTCAACATGGGTTATGTGTTCTTCGGTTTCCATCACTCTTTTGCCACCGTTGAAGAAAGAGGAGGGCCCACCATGAGACATGAATGAACCTTCTCTTGACCCAAAAAGATCCATGCCATTGAAAGGATTGTGAGATGCTTCAACTCCTTGAAGGAAATTACCAGTTAATCCATCTCGATCTAGAGAATCATCATTCGCCTCCATGTTGAATCTTTCATCTGCTCTTTCGCCACCTTCTTCTTCTTCTTCTTCTTCTTCTTCTTCATCATCTTCATCCTCCACTTGTTGAATTTGTTCATCTTCATCTTCATCTTCGAGTTCTTCGACCTTTTGTTCTTCATAGTTGTTCAAATCACTATTACATCGCTGCAAAAAATGGTTGCCTGGTTCATTTTTCCCGGACGAAAGCCAGTTCCCTTGTTCCTCCTCCTCTTCCTCCTCCTCCTCCTCCTCCACCTCCTCCACCACCTCCTCCTCCACCTCATCCGCCACCACCTCATCCTCCTTGTGTTCTTCGGCATCCACCATGACCTCATCGTCTTTCTTGACCTCTTCTTGTACTATTTCCTTCACATTAGACCCTAAAGTTAACTCAATACCTTGTTCTTCAACTATCAAACTTTTCTCTTCATTCTCTTCTTCTATCCTTTCTTTCTCTTCTTCCTCTTGTTTCTCTTGTTTCTCTTCTTTCTCTTCTACATCTTCAGCAATGTCATTAGCAACACCTTCATCTTCATCCATGAAGAACTCAGGGCGCTGTGACCTTATGAGGTACTGCAAATGTGATGCATAGTAGCAATCAACGAGCTTATCTCCTTGAGTTAGTTCTTTCTCCACCATATGCCAAACCAATCTAGCGGGATCCATTTTCTCAGGGTGGCCATCTTTAACGCATCTAGTCATTTTAGCTAAATCCGGTGGCATAACCCATGAATCCTCATGTAAAAGCATCCAACTTGAAACGAAATTATCAATGAACCCAATTGCTTCATCGGAAAACACCTCGGAATCCAAATCGACCTCCTCCACAGTGCTACTGCTTCCTTTCTCTGGCCTCGGTGCTGGCAGCTTTAGAGTTCTAGATAATTCAGCCCTATTCAGATTTAACCTGACATCATTAACGTAACTACAGCGCTTCTTCTGATCATAATTCACGATCAACTGAACAACAAGATCGGTCCTTATGCTACGGTCGAACTCGATTTTGCTAAACTCGTATAACCCTAAACGCTTTAAAACCTCCTCGTGCTTAACAAAATCTAATTTTTTGGTTGGTATAAAGGGAATGGGTTGGAGGATATCGGTTAGGTTTTGAAGTTTCTTGCGTTTGTGAGGATTACGGTTAAAGGCTTTCTTGCGTTTGTTGAGTCGGCGCTGGGGGTTGACTGGTGACGCAAGTGGTGGTGGTGCTGGTGATGGAGGTGGGTTTTTGGTTTCTTCGGGAAGTACAATTGGTTCGGGAATTGTAGCATGAGACATACCTGTTTGATGATCGTCTTTTTGTTGCGATTGTTGATCGTCTACATCATGCGTCAACAGGGCTTCTTCGTCTTTGTCTGATTTTTGAGGATTCTGAACTCCGTCATCATGGAGGGGCGATTGATGAGGGTTTGGGGGATCTAGGGTTTCAGAATTTGGTGGTTGCCGCGGTGGTGACTGTTCGGCTTCTTTCGATTGAATGGGATTTGGATCTTGGTGTTGCAAATCGTCGTCGTCGTCCTTATGTTGTTGGGGTTGAGAATGGGAGGGACTACGAGTAACAGCCATGGCGACAACTGGTGACTGTTCCTTGGCTTCCTCTGCGTCAAGATTCAAAACCCGGAGCTTATTACATCAAGAGTAAATTACATAAATAGTCCTCGTCGTTTGGGTAGTCTATTGATTCCGTTCTAACTATATTCTTTGACACAATTTCACAAATGGTCCTGTTAGTTTAAAATATTTCTCTCAGACGGTCCTTATGAAAAAAGAAATTGCATAGATGGTCCCTTCCAACAAAGGTTGTCACGCCATTGGTCCTTAATTTATGTTTGGTTTGATGTTATACATAAGGACCGTGACAATTTGTGTCAAAAAAAAAATAACATTTATGTAAAAAAAAAAAAATCACAAGTACTGTTTTTGGAAAAAAATTACATGAAAAATAAAAAAATAATAAAAAATCATAAGAACTGTTTTAGGAAAAAAAATTACATGATTAAGCCTTATGTTTTCTTAAAACATACATAGTAAAGAATTAAAGATAAATATTAAAATTCCTGCACGTTTGATCTTTATGGTTTCAAAAGCTTTTCTGTCTAATTCTTTTTGATATAACAAAACGTTTTTGCCATTTTTATTTTATTTTTAACTAAAAATTACTCCCTCCTCGCTTCGTAGGGGACACACTCGTGTCAAACTTATAAATTTCAATGTCCTTTTTAGGGGTGAGAGTTTTAATCTATAAAATTTCTATTATGCAATAAACATTTTTCTATTTTTTTTAAAACAAATTGACCATTTGCTGTAAAAAAATTCGCATAGGGACTTTTTCTATAAATTAAAATGATAATTTTATAATTTACTTTCTACAAAGGAATAAAATCAACCAACATATGAAAGTCCTGTAACGAAAGTGTCAAACCCAAATAATATATATTTAAACACATGGACCATATGTGTAAAAAATATACTTCACAAGAACCTTTTCTTGTAAATTATGGATACATATTTTCTAATTTATTTTCAATATAAGGACCAAAATCGCCTACATATGAAATTCAAATTTGATGGACGAAAGTAACATTTTACAGAGTAAATGGTGGAAATTGCCATTCTACAAAGTTAGGGGTGAAAGGTGTAAGGATACGAAAGTCTATGGACCAAATCTACCAATATAATAAAGTTTTGTGATCAAAGTCTAAAATAATACACTTTTGTGACGAATCTAAAACCACAAAGTATACTATTGGTCAAAGTTTATAATTATAAACTCTTATGGTGAAAGTCTAAAACCTAAAAATATGTTATTCCTAACCAAATTGTCTTTTATTATATATAATAATATTTTTTTTTTAATTTTAGTTGATTTAAAAAAACAAAAAGGGGTAGAAAATAAAACCTCTCTCTCTCTCTCGTTGGATCACATCACGACTCCCCGACTATCTAACAACCGCCATGTTTTATGTAATGTCTCAAAATTCATAGTAAAATTTTCATTTTCTTTGACAATAAATCATACAAACGATTTGTTTAAAACTTATCAAAGTGAATATATTATTTAAACATTAGAGTAATAGCATTAACTGTCAATGCGGAAAACTCTGGGGACACTGTGCAGTCACGTTGGGCCCTTCCCTTTCAAACTGGAAATACCCGAAACCATAAGCATAAAGTTTAGTGAGTTTCCTAAAATACCACATATCATACATACAATAAAGATTGTTATATGTCAACCATTGTCTTGCCTTTTTGCCATGAGTTGTATCATGGTCTTTCCTTTCCATGATGGGGGCCAAAACCCTGGGTCTTACAGACAAGTTTCAAGAGTCACCTTCTGGTCTTCCATGCAAGTATCACAAAAACAACTATCATATTACGTATAATTGTCAGGGTCTGATCTCTGGTCTTGCATACAATTTGTCGGGAGCCACCTCTAGTCTTTTATACAAATACTAAGGGTCACCTATTGGTCTTCCTATATAACATAAGCTAATGGATCGACATTGGTGCCTTCAACCCCCCGAGTACAACGAGAAGACTCGCCTGAATCAAAAAGCCAACTAACACTCAGCCCAAAGCTACACAACCGCTATAGCACTTGTAACATCCAAAATTTTCAACCAATTTAAACTTTTCAAAAACAACCCAATTTCATTAAGTTATTACAAAAAAGTTTTCAATACGACTATTATCAGAGTATTTCCCAGAACCACATCATAAATACATAAAACATGAGGAGCGGTACGATCACGCCTTTGCCTTGCCATGGTCCCTTGAAGTACTTGAAACATTAAACCACAACTGTAAGCCCGAAAGCTTAGTGAGATACCCCCAAAATACCAACCACCTATACCATACACATAACATATCATAACATAATAAAACAGCCATGCACTTCGGGTCTACTGTATGACTGGTCCGCCGCACCGGGCCTTCAGTCCACTTGGTCCACCCTCCGAGTCTAGCCATATACATCAAGTCTGTAGTGTGGTTGGTCCGCCCGCACCGAGCCTTCAACCCACTTCGTCCACTCTCTAAGTCTACAGTATGACTGGTCCGCCCGCACCGGGCCTTCGGTCGGCCTGGTCCACTCTCCGAGCCTCGGTACGTCTGGTCCGCCCTCGTGGGACCTACAGCCTATCCGGACCGCTCGTTGGGCCTTTGGAATATCCGATCCGCCTTGTGTAACATACACATTTTTAAATAAGTAAAATTTTATTATTTGATGTTTTAGAGAATCTCGTTAGAAACTTGTAGGCGAAAACCTCGTCGAAATCCGAGTTATAACGAAGAAGTTATGACCAACCGAAGATCCACGACAAAACCGGCACGGCACCGAATGACGTAAAAAGTGAGTTTTTGATAAACTACTTTTTAGCCTTAGTAATCTAAATTAAAGTCGTAGTATTCGTTAAACCAAGAAATTCGATAAAAAGAACGCCAAAATCTGAATTCGTATGAGGAAGTTATGATTTTTCGAAGTTTCAACTTAGCAGTAGACAGCTAAAAACTCAAATTTTAGATCGAGCGATATTTGACCGATACATCCTAAACGAGAATCTAAGGTCTCTTCATATGTAGTACAACAGTAAAAAGTGTGACGAAAACGGATGTCGGATGAAGAAGTTATGAATTTTTAACGGATTTTTCTATCCCGGTCTGTTAAAAATAATAATATTAAAAATAAGGTCAAAATTAGCCGACAAAGTCTAAACGAAAGTTGTAGAGCGTAATTTTAGCTACGCATGCATATAAAGAACGTCAAAAACGGAGCTCGTATGCGAAAGTTATGGATTTTAGAAGTTTGGGGCCCGAAAACTGAGAAATTTCGCATGAATAGTACCAGCCAGCGGGGACCCTTGTCGCAGCCACGTCACCTCGCACGAAGCAGGTGCGTCACCGGATTCGTGGCCTCATCTCGCAGCGCCACGTGTACGAGCTGGAGACGTGTTCGCCTTGCGTGTCCCTCGCAACTGCTGTCACCGAGCTGCTTCGCATCCACTTCCGTCCGAGCCTCGCTGGAGTCCTATGCTGCTGCCGCGTGTCTTCGCTGAGTCACCCTCCTCGCATCCGAGCCTCGCAGATGCGACGTGGCCCTTGCTGTTGATGCCACCGAGCTACTTCGCTACCTGCTTCCTTCCCAGCCGACTTTGGCCTCGGCCCTATATAAAGGGAGGCTGCGAACCTTGTCGACAAACTTTGGAAATTTGCCACTTTTAGCCCCTCTTTCCATATTTTCTTCATTTTTACTTTCCCCGAAGCCCCGATATCAATTTTAGCACCCGAAACACATCCCGAGACCCCCGAGAAGCCCGAAAATTTTATCTTTTCAGCTTTGAAGCCCTACCTTCGCAAAGCTCGGTTTTCAATTAAGCTCCCGGTTTTCAACATAGAAAGACATATTTAAAGCCGAAGTGTTGTCCAAATTACTATTTTAACCCCCGGTTAACTTAAGGTGAGTTCAATATATAGGAACAATTGTATGTTATGTGTTATATGTGCTATGTGCTTTTCAGTGTTATTATTCTGAGTTATTTTCCCGTGTGATTTTATTCGCTATGTTTATAGCAATTGTAATACCTTTGACCATGTGATCAGTGAAAGGACTTAGATTCACATTGGTACTGGTACGTAGCCTCTGGCCATGCAGAGCATATCTCCGTAAGAGAATGACTTCTATTCTATGACATTGGAAAATGGTTAGACAGGACTATAAGCCTGAAATCTAACAAGATGTTAATCAGAAATTGCATGTCTTCTATGCCATTTGGGCCAAAGCTTTATTGATGTATATCAAGAATTGAAAAGTATATCTTTGAATAAAGTCTTTGATTGATATGAACACTTGTCACATGATCTCACATACATCTTGTTGTTCCTCTTTGCTTTCGCCACATTGAAGTATATATATGGCATAACGTTATATTGTATCTATTATTGAACTCATTAAGCATCATCGCTTACCCTATCAATGTTTAACAATTGCAGGTGATAAGTAACTAGTATCTTCACATACTATTGAAAGATTTAGAATAGTTTGTAATAGTACTTTTGTACTACAGTTTTTGTTTGTATAAATTACAATACCCTTGGTAGTTATGTAATATATATAACACTTTGTAATAGAGGGTTTGTATCCAATAGTTTGTAATTCCCTTTATCAATGTAAAATATTGCTTTTATGAATATGCAAATAACATGTTTTGGAGTAATGATATTGTGAAGTATGAAAGTTTGGGTCTTTCAAAAATACAAAATTTGGGGTCTTTCACCTTGGGTATGTTGGCCTACAGCACAAAGCAGGACCCGCCTCAACCCAACCCCAGTCAACCAACCATGTGCACATAAACATATAATCATACAAGAACTAATCACCAATCAACCGATCTAGCAGATCACATACATAGCATACTCTAACCAGGATACCGACCTAACCGGTCACTAACATAACATCATCTTATATTCCTGGATTCCAACCTTAACCAGGTCTCTAACATATACCATCCTAACTACCAGGATGCAAACATATAGCAAGGCAATAACATAACAACTACCTAGATTTCCAT